CGCGCCGTCGTCGTCCTCGTCGACGTCCGGGTCCGGGTCCGGCGGCGCGCCATCGACGCCGTCGATGACCTGGAGCGCGCCGGGCTCGCCGGGCTCGCCGTCCTCGACGACGATGACCTCGTGATCAGATCCTCGTCGACGTCGACGCTGTAGGTGCCCGTGGGCGAGCTCTGCGAGTTCGCCTTGACGATGGGGATGGTCACGAGCAGCGCGAGGCCCGTGAAGACGGTCGACGCCTTGGTCACCTTGGCGGACCCCGAGCCCGCGTCGAGCTCCGTCCCGTCGGACTGGATGCGCGCCAGGATCTTGTGCGACGCCGGCACGCGGATCTCCGTGGCGTCGCCGTCGTCGTCGGGCGCGTCGAGCTCGAGTAGGACGCCGCCGCCGTCGACGATGACGCGCAGCTCGCATTTGGCGCGCACCGGCGCCTCGACCTGGATCGCGCCGAGGCCGAGCCCCAGCTGTGGCCTCAGCCAGCGCACGATGGGCTGCGACGGCGTCGCGGGCTCCGGAGACGGCGCGCCGAGCGACGGGAACGCGTCCTTCATGTAGTCGTCGAAGGCCGCGGCCGCGCGCCGCAGGTCCGGCAGCAGCCACCTGCTGCTGGAGAGCTCGAGGGGCCGGCCGATGCTCGCCTTGAGCTCGAGGTACATGAGCGTGTGCTTCGGGAACTGCCAATCGAACTCGTCCCCCGCGAGCCACTTGATGTAGTCGGGCCCATGCTGCCAGAAGTCCTCGCCCGTCGCGCGGTTCGTCGAGGGCTTTCTGGCCAAGGTACTGCGCAGGAACATCTTCTTCAACGCGACGCCCTCGAAGTTGCCGAAGTCGAAGACGTAGTCCGGCGGCCGGCCGGGGCGCGCGCCCGCGCGCGCGAGCGTCGAGGCGCGGGGCCCCACGCTGAAGTACCTCGCGAGGAGCGTCTGCTCGCCCGAGGTGGGCAGCTCGCGCGTGCTCGCCTTCTCGCGCCAACCTGAACGCTCGTCGATCCACCGCTGCATCGCGGGCGTCGAGGGCACGTTGATGACGGGCGCGGGCCCGAAGAGCATCTCGAAGTCGTGCGGCGTCGGCAGCACGCCGCGCTGGAGGTTCTCGAAGGCGATGTGGAAGATGAAATGCTTCCGCGCGGAGTCGGGCTTGAGGTAGCGACCGCCGCGACTTCGGCCGCCCGACGAGCGCTCCGAGAGCGTGTCCACCAGCCCTACGAGTCGGGCGTGCGCCATCGCGATGTCCTCGGGCGTCGGCGCCACGAAGACGGGGGCCGCGGGCGCGGGTGGCGTCGCGTTCGTCGGCGGCGCCGTCGGCGCAGGAGCCGGCGCAGCCATGCTCTAGACCGTCGAAGACGCGCCGCGCGGTGCGATGAACGCCGCCGCGCGACGCCGGGGAGCCGCCGCGCCTGGGAAGACCCCCGCGACGACGGGCCCGCGACTCCAACGATTAAAGCAGCGGCTCAAAGTGGCAAGAGCATGCCTCAGTCGTCCCGCAGAGGCGCTGCCTCTCTCTCTCTCTCTCTGCAACAATTTCTTTCATCTCGACTGCGAAAACGGGGCGGTTTTCAAGTACTCCCATGGTTTTCTGTGGCTGGGAGTGAATGACACCGAATGACACGGATACGCGGGAACATTAAATAGCTCCCTTATTCGGGAATAACGCCGCGAGAGCGCTCCTGCAGCTAGTTGCCGACGGGCAGCCTACTGGATCGGGGGTTCATCATTGACCGGGGGCTGTTTGTGGTCATTGTGGCTGAGCGGCGGGCTGTTTGTTGACTTTTTGGCTGTTTGTTGCACCGTTTGTGGCGTTGACCTTTTGTCGTCGCCTCGGTACCCTGGCGGAAACAGTGATTAAACAGCCGGGGTTCCAGAGAATCTTGGTTTACGTTTAATTCTCTCAGGCCAAACGTGCCGCCCGCGCTGTCATCTCGCCGGGCCGCCGTCTGTCGTCCGCTGCCGCGTCCGCAGGCCCAGAACGGCCCTCCCACTCGCGCGCGCCGTCGCGCGGGGATCAGGATCCACAGCGCGGACG